ATGCTGGCTATTAACAATCAAATGAAATCACTATCAACAAAATTCATAGATGGATAATGTTAAGTTTAAATATAACATTTTAATGTAGAAATATTAAATGATTGCAAAAATGAAATAAGCTACTTTTTAAAATATGAAACTACAACAGCCAGTAGGTGGCAGCAAGTTACTGTCTTAATGAGTGAGTTGAATCAACCGATTTGTTTAAAAAGCTGATTCATTTAACTTTGCAAATGACTGAATTGAATCATTTGCTGGTCTGTGTAACGCTAAGGAACAAAACACTGTTGTTCGGAGACGCAGCGGTTCGGCTGTTTGTTCTGTTTTCTTTCTGACGGAGCAAAATGGAATTTTGTGTCTAAAATTTACTCTGTAATTTGTTGTTTATTGTACATTTGCGATGATCGTGCAGATATTTGAGAAAAAAAACAGGACTCTTGTTTGTGTGATAGGCTAAGTCCTATATCATAGGCATAGCTATGTTATAAAAACAGAAACTCATTAAATTGCTATTTTTTATTTAAAATCATTTTGATGACATTTCTTCCCCACTATGTGTAATGGCAGTAAGACGAGAGAGAGCGCTCAAAACTCATCAGATGATCGCATAATTTAATGGAACATTAATAGGCTACAGAATCATCCTCTGTAAAGAAATTAGGTGTGAACATTTGAGAATTTATCATTATCTTTCTAAATGTGCGCTCTTTGGGGCTAAAGGCTTAATGGAGCTGTTTAAAGTAGCCATGTGATAACAAACCAATCGGTGCAGACGCGATTCAATACGTGTGTCCTTCTTCTATGTGAAATAATCATAAATACCAGTTTATGCTGTTTGATTGTGGCCTCGAAGGTCGTAGTTGTAAGCTGTAGCCCCGGCTGGCCCGTTTAGATCTTGCGTGCGCAGTGGAAATGCGGCTAATCATTTCTGAATTCTGACTGGCATATAACGAACAAATCAAACAAACGTAAACGGGCAAAGGCGGGGCCCCCTACAAGGCGGGGCCCATGGGCTGCAGCCCACTCAAGCCCAAAGGTAAGTCCGGCCATGCATGTAAAAGTGGATTTTGCATAATAGGTGCCCTTTAACCAATGTAATTAATGTTAACAAATGGAACCTTATTGTAAAGTATTAACAAATAAACTTCTAAAACAATTATAACAATTCAATTAACTTTAATATTCTTGTGCATGTTCAGGAGGATACCATGCCACTTTAACACAAGCTTACTGTAACATGTATGCTTTGTCTGTCTGTTTTCTGTCTGCCTTGTTTGACCTAGTTTTCCTTAGTTGCCCTAATTAGTTCATTATGTTTACCTGTTAATTAACTCATCAGCTCCTTTGTTTTTCTCTTGTACTTAAACCCTCAGTTCACCATTTGACTCTGTCCCTTCTCTGTTATAATAGTGTTTGGTAATGTTTCTCTGAGTTTGTTATTAAAGTCTATTTCCAGTTATTCTCCTTCATTGTGCAAGTGATTTTACTACCAGACGTTATATTTAACTCAAGATTTTCATTAATGTACTAAAACACACTATGTAGAAAAGCAATGCAATTGCTAATTTTATTGCTTGGGCTTAGTTGAGAAGACATTATGTTAAGTCTACACGAATATTTTCAAATCCAGTCAACATTCAGAATGCTAAATGTTGACTAAACTAATAATGTTTCGGAGATAACAGCGCCGTTTGGTCAAGTTCACGCCTCAGGTACGTTGCACTAAATTTATCGACAAAAACGTACAGCATATGCGATGTTTTTGAGTGGATATTGTTTTATAAGTCGTTTGTCCGAAGAAAAATGAATAGCCTAGGCTACTTCATTTGTAATGAATGACAATGTCAGACAACTTACATTAATTAATGTCAAGTTAATACGTCAGGTAAGTGGCACTGAATAAATATGTGTACTTAGACTGAATTGATCAAAACTTGTAAATTATAAATGTGTAAACGTATTATTTAAAACGTATATTTATACACACAAGTTCAACATATATAAAAACATTGAATAAGCATTGTATGAATATGTCTGGGGGAAATGAGCTGTTTAAGTGAACGGAACGCGGTTTTTACCACCTGACCACCGCAGGCTCTGTTTAGGCGTTGATAGTGTTGCCATAGAAAAGCATAATTCCGAGTCCGAGGAACAGCTCAGAGTAGAATGTCACGTGATGTCATCTTGGAATTACAGTAATTACGATATGGCGTAAATGCAGCATAACTCTACACCCTATAGCCTCATTAAAGTTGTGGTATTCAAGTGCTTTAATGTCGGAAAGAATAAAATGTAGCATCACACTGGTTGACTATCA